ATTCTGCACCTGCTAGATCTCAGACCATTGTACAACGGCCGAGAACTGTGAGTAGTGCCCAGAGGGAAAACTTTAGAGGAGGAAATGATAGTGGGAGAAGCCGAAGCACTAACATGAGGGGCAATGCTAGTGGGCAAGCGGCAAGGAGTGAGATACAACCTCGTGTCTTTGACATGACAAGGGGAGAAGCTTATGCGTCTCCGGAAATTGCCATGGGTACTGTTGTTTTCTATAATACCACAGCTTTTGTTTTAGTTGATCCAGGTTTACTCACTCATTAGTGTCACGTGCATTTTCTCAAAATTTGTATAAACAACCTAAATCCTTATCTAGAAAATCCCTTATATGAGATACCAATTGAAATTAGCTAGGATTACCCCAATAGTTCCATGACAATAGCAGGAATAGAATCACTTGCTAACCCTATGTAGAAATTAAAATTTGGGAAGATGGTTAGTAGGATTTATAATGGTTGATGCTATCGATCAAGACCAAGAAAATAGAGAAAATGAGAGGGATTGAGCTTGAGATCTTGTAGACATTAGGATGAGGAATGGGAAGTTAGAGAATTGATATTGGCTGTTAAAAAAGATGGGAAGAAGAGTGAACACCGAATACAGGATGTGATCTTGGTGTTAAAGGATTATGAACATAAGTGAGGAAAGATTAATATGAATTATAATTATAGGTTACTCAAAAATCAAATTTCCATACTTGTAAGGTAAATTTCGAGGATGGAATTTATTTTGGGGTGGGGGGAATTGCCACACCCCTTCCTCATGTATTACTTAATATGTCACAATGGTTTTTGGTCTAAGAAGCTTTATATGTATATTTAGATTCGAGGATTTGGATCTAGATTATCATTACCTAAATTCGATGTAGCAAAATTAGAAAATACTAAGATGAGATCAAATAAGCTATATATCACTGCTTCATCAGGTGATTGTACCAATTTTAATCATGTATGAACCACCCAAAAAGAATATAATAAGTATTTTGACCCCTCCATTCTTACTACCTAAACCACCGTTCCACTTGGAAACATTGGATTAAAGCCAAATCAAACTAAGGTAACTAAATGCATATGTCAACCCCACTACTTTCCTCCATCTTCATCTCTGCTGTCACCTATTCTCTACATATCCCAATAACCCAATATAAATGAGAAAACTTGCATTTTCCCCTCTCCCCTTACTTCCCTCCTGACATGTGTTTGGATCCATTTCCAAGCTATAGCAAGGTTGAATACGTGGTACATCTCATCTTTAGGGTAGGGGATAGGAAGGAGGGGGAGCGAGTAGTTAAGAGAGGAGTGGGCTATACTTGCCTTAAGTTTTTGTGGTAAGCTATCTTCTGCTGCTTTTTGGAGAGCGAAAGGGATAGAGGTTGAGAGGCTGATAACGAGGAATCGATAACTACTAATGCATAATTTTTATCTTCTAATTTTGTTTTAGAGACAAATATATGTGTTTCTAGAAGAACTTATGGAGACATAAATATTTGCCTCTAATTAGTATACTTTGAAGCAAAATAGTTATATATATATATATATGGTAATGACTGGTGTACGGCAGGCGTATACTATACGTCAGGTGATCTAGCCGTTAGATGTACTTAGATGAGTTCCGGCTGATCTCAACGGTCAATTTTTGTTTTTCATTAAATCAAACTTCGGGTTGGGGTTTAGAAAATCGATGACTGGGGTTTATCCATTAGAGATTAAGGTATAGTATCATACCCCAAACTCGATTTAATTCATGGTATAGATAGAGATATCTCACTAGTAGTGCCTGCATATACTATATATATATATATATATATATATATATATATATATATATATTCTTTTAATTTGTATATATTATTTACTTTCATGGACAAATATACACCAGAGGATAAAAATCACTGCATTTATAAAAATTAATAAAATATATTAACTTTATTCAATGAATTTTCTCGACATATTTAATATTCTAAACAACTAATCTTATTTATGTTTTTGGAGACAAGTCTAATTTTTTCTTTCAAGTTATGTAGAATGAAGTTGATGTTATTGAGTGGAGAGTGAAAAACTTAATTGAAAGGAAGAAGCTTTCGATTAATCATGTTATTTATGGATAATTTGTGATTTGCTTCAATTTTCTTGAGTTTTCTAGATTGGTGTTGAACAATTTGTGTAGTTAATTTGTGATTTGCTTGAATTTTCTAGAATAGTGTTTTGTATATGGATAATTTGTATTGAGAGATTGATATTTGACTTTAATTTTGATAGGAATTTGTTATTGTGAATTTTTTACGACAAAAACCCGTGGGTACCCATGAACCCGCGGATACCCAGCGGGTTGGGTTGGGTTTGAGTTTTTCAAACCCAGTGGGTTTTACCCCGGGTTTTTTTCACGGATAAACCCACGGGTTTGGGTTTGGCAAAACCCGACCCAACCCGACCCATTTCCATCCCTACCGTGGACCCATCTGACTTGTCAATACGTGTTAACAGCCCATTCGACCACTCTCCCAACTCCCATAACGACACCCAAGTCTCAACCTTAGTTTTGTAAATCTCGTCCCTCCTTCATTCACAACCACATTTAACCAGAGAGTAGAGATAATCGTGTCTCCATATGACATTATGTTAATGATTATGACGTTATGGTGCAAGTTGTGATGCTTTTACTTTGTATCTTTGTTATGTACTAAGATTTAGAGTATCAAAATTATTCATGCATGTTAGGATTAATGATTTAAAGCAAATAACAATTATTTTTCCTGGTTATTGGTTCAATTTTTTGTGTGGTTGACTAAACAAATTATTCGTTTCTCATTGAGTGTGGTCTATCTGGACCAAACCAGACCGAACCAGACCGCACACGCGTGGTCTGGACCGGACCGTATAGTCTGTGGTCTATATTTTAGCCTCTCGGTCTGGACCATAGACTGTATATATGCTCTGGTCTGGACCAGACCGCACCGTTTCCCAGCCCTAATGAAAAGAGAGGAGTTGGGCAGCCAAATTATGAAAGAAGACAAATCTTTCCTAGGGTTATTTGGGGTTCGGTAAAATGCAAAGTTAACCCTCTTCCGTATAGCCATGGGTTTAGGGATTTTTTTTATTTGTTATAGATAATGGTAACAAATAGATAGTTAGAGAACAACAAGCAACCAAACGCGGCAGTCGACAAATAGTCGAACCGTCGATGAAATGGCCTTTTGAGCCACCAAATGGGCAGCCCAGTTGTACGTGCGAGGAGTAAAATAGCAAGAAAAAGTAGAAAATGCAAACATCGCCAACTGAATTTCTTCTAGAATAGCACCACCTAAGGCATGAGATACATCCTTCTCTCGAACTCGGCGCACCAAAGTTTGACAGTCGCCACAAAAGTTCACTGTAAGAAAACCATGCATTAAACACCAGTTAATTGCATCTCTTAAGGCCAAAAGTTCCATAAAAAAAGGTGTCAGTAATACCTGTGTAATATTTTCCCACAACAAACAGTAGCTGACCACTATCAGAGAACCCTACAAAGCCAACACTACTACCACCACTTTCAGATCTTGGTTCTTTGTTCTTGGGCGTGCTCGTCGTGGGAGCTGGAGACTGCAACTTGGGAGCCTCGTCCAAATCTGGATGGTGGGGTTGTCCCCGTTGGTGGCCTCATCTTCAAGGTGAAGCCATTCCCTTCTTTCCCTCTCCGACCTCCCTAGGTGTTTAAGTGGCTTGGTGAGTTGTCGGATGGTGGTGGGTTGGGTCTTCTCCGGTGGTTGCGGTTGGGATTCGGTGTCTTCGTGGAGGGTTGTGGCAACCTTGGGAGCTTCTGCTCTTCTTCGAACCTGATCTCGCTGCCTCAGCCTCCTCTGCCTCTTCAGCTTGGAGCAATCTGGTTATATCCTCTTCCACCGCCATGCAGTCTAGATTCTAGATTCACTGTGTTGGATGCCTTTGAGTTTTCCCCAGGAGGCGGCACATGGAGTGATGATGTTCAACTACCATGGGTTTCGAGATGATCGGACAAGCTGATTTGGTTTTGTTGCACTTTGATTGGTTGTTTGCTTGAGAGATTCTTGATGATCTGTTTTCGGTCAAGGGTTTTGCTCTTTCCGGATGGGTGCTTGCAGACTGTGTGTTGTTCTCTGTTGCTGCATTTTGTCATTCACAGTTTTGTTTGTAACCGGTTGCCTTTGGGCTTCCTCTTGTTGGAACCAGATTGTTTGTTCGTTCTCCCTCTTTGTAACTGATCAATTGAAAGTGCAATAAAATCCCCTTTGTAAAAAAAACAAAAAGAAAAGCTTCGTCAAAGTGAACCAGCACCCCTGCAGTGTGGCATATATCATGTCTATGCCTAGAGAAATGACTTCCACCTACGCAAAGAGGATATGCATCCACGCTGAAACACCACTGCCGTACTGAGACACTCCACCATACACGCCTTAAGCTAGCTCTCCCTGCGACCAGCCAGGATGTGACGGAGACATATCTAGTGAATTGAAGTAGCCCATTACACCTAAGCCTAGGCAAGAGGAATGCCGAAAGCCAACACATGCAAAACAAACATAGAGAAAGGCACAAACCAAACAAGCCCAAGAAAAGTTCCATCAAGCCCATAAAATGCGGACAGGGCTGGCTAGCCCATGAGTGTGGCACGACTGATTTTCCCTAATATATAAATAATTGTTTGCTAAACTTTGTCGTTTCATAGCCACTGCCACACGCGCAGACAGACGTGTCCCTCGTGATAAGGATGAGAGAATCCCAAAAGGCATGGGGAGCGGGGCACGAGCATGCAAGCGGCAACCGGCTCTCCGTCGGAACTGCCACCACTGCACTCATCATTAGCATGGACGCCGATTAATGGCGAAGCCTGCATACATATTACATGAAACAGAGACAGAAGATAACCCAAAAGGAACAGAAATAAACCAATAGAGCAGAGAAAAACCAAACCAGACAAAAAACAAACACTATGTACATTAAACAAAGAAAGCGGAGAAATAAACCATTAAACAAACACAACCATTTATTTTAGACGTTCCAGAACTTTCCATTATATAATGCCACCTGCGAACATTATGTATACTAATTTACAAGGATTAACTGCTTTAAGTACAACACTACTAGACTACCGCACCCTTATCCTCTTATCTTATGACATAACAGAGGGAGGATCAACTCGTAACGAGGAATTTTACACCGTATACAAGACCAAGACTGAGTGTTCTTCAACCTGTGCTACTTCTAGTTAGTACTTACTACTACAGCATACACATTTTATTCTCCCAGCCAAATAACCGCCACCTCTGCAGCTTCACTCTGTCAGCTTGAGAAAACAACACAAAATTATTCGCTTCTGTAATACACATAACTCTGACCCTCAGAACCTTGTTCAACTGGTTTATCATGTTGATCACATCAGTAGCAGTCTGAAACCCAGATGTCCTCTGCACCTTCTTTCCATGTCCCACATTTCCATTTAATTCTCGGGTGTTTGCTTGCCCAATTAGAGACGAGACTAAAGAACGCTCCATGATCAGCATCAGAGTGGATGAGTAACCCAATTCTCAACAAGCTGTTGCAACAGTTCAGGATACATGAAATAAACTGTAAACTAGCATCAAGATTCTGCTTCACAAACTGAACAGTAATTACTTTCAAGTCTTTCATAGGGGACCGAGTCTTCAGGCCATTGGAGAGAAAGCATGTCACCATCTCGGACCAAGCCCCAGACTGCAGAGTTAGGGAGCTCACATTTGGGAAAACTTCGAATGCCGATTCCAAGCAGAGTGCATCATCAGTCTCATTGGATCTGGAAGAATTTAACTTTACCTCATTTATTGCAGTGGCAGAAGCAAATGAATGAAGGAGAGAGCAAATGTTTCCCGAATCAAGCTGAAGGCTTTCCAGATGCAGGAAATGGTTCACTTGGAGCTCATTCACTTCCACAATATAAATACGACAATCTGCCAACATTGGAGCTTTGATAACTAGGGATCTGGGTCTAATGCATCTCAGCTCGAGTTTCACAAGGCTGGGCGCAAGTATGGTCAAAGAAAATGGAGCATTTGATACCGTCCATTGACAAGTCTTCAGCCGAGGAAGACAAATGTTGGGTTCTTTAAGTCCTCCAACTCCTATCAAATTCAGAACTTGAAGACATGGGAAGCAATCGTTGACCTTGTTTAGATCTTCATCATCTAACCTCACGAACTCGAGGGTCAAAACACTGAGCATAGGCATTGAATTTAAACCATCTACGGATAACCAAGCGTTCTTCACCTCAAGCTCCAGAAGAGCGTGGCCTGTAAATATAGGAAATACATAATAAGACTTGGAAATGGGAAATATCCAGAGCGTAAGCATAAGCTTTGCCTATAATATCATCGATCAGCCCAAGATGGTTCCTGATGATCAAAGTAAACATTCAGTTCAAAACCTATCACTACCAGCCATCATCGTCAATTCATTTGATTTAAAGATCGGAAAAGTTTCTGTCTTTAAGACAAAGAAAAGCAATTTTCCTAACTAGCATAGCACCACTAGAGAGTAAGATCCAGGCATGGGAGGCAAACAGGGCAGGGCAAAATTCAGACAATACTCACAGCAAGAAGAAATGAGCTTCAGAATCTCCGATTTTCTCCAGCAAGATTGAATCCAAAAATCCGAAATTGAAAGCGACCTCAGCTCTCCAGAAACCCTAGGCAACCACTCCTCCACGAACCTCGCGTCGGTCAGGTGCAAATCGTCCGACTCGTCCTCCACGTCGTCGTACGATATCCCGGCGAGGGATTTCTCCACGCCAATCGAAGCGGACTCTATGGGGACGCGAGAACCGCGGAACAGGTTGCCGAGCACGGCCTTGAAAGGCGTAATTCGGTCTCTGGTCTCCGGCGACCGCGATTTCAGATAGCGGGACAAAGAGCAGAAGAATTTCACCGATTGGACTTCACGAGCGGCCGCGGAGAAGTTTCTCGAAATTAGCCTGCAGCGTGCCACATGCCCGGAATCGTCGAGACGGCTCAGGATGTCGACGAGCAGAGACGAAGGCAAGTTCTCCATGAGCAGTGCAGTCAGCAGTGGTGCCGAATCTCTTCCTCCACTGTGTCTACACAATCTACACTCTACAGACTACATATCCAGTTGAGGGGAATTCGAAATTTTCTTGATTTTTTTTTTTTTATAGTGACCTGAACCCAACAGATAAGGCCAGCCCAGAGGTCAGGTCCGTAAATCGGCCCAGCCCAACTCCAGGTTCGTACTCTCCTCCAGTAAATGCTCTCAATGTTTATCGAAATTAACAAATTGCCACCACACAGACGGGAACGATAAACCGGCATTAAAACCTCTGTCTGCCTGTCCCCGTCGTCGGCTCCTCCGTCGAGCTTCTGGCCTCTGGGGTTTAACAGGCAACTCTGCTTCCCTTCTTTGTATTCGCGACAGAGAGAGAGAGAGAGAGAGAGAGAGAGAGAGAGAGATGGGAAGGAGGATACTGAACGATGCGCTGAGGGCCATCGTGAATGCGGAAAAGAGAGGGAAGGCCTCGGTGGAGCTCAAGCCGATTTCCACTGTCATGTCGTCTTTCCTCAATATCATGAAAGATCGAGGTAACTAACTGACTCCTTCTGGATCCAATCTTCTTCCCACCCCCTTTTGTTGTCCCATTCCGCGGCTGCGATACTTCAATTGGGTATTTCCAGTTTTCAGCTTAGAATCGAGGTAGGTTTTGTTTCAGAGACGGGGTGGCGGTTAAATTGAGATTGTATATTGTAATTCAGAGTGACTGACCTTGGTGTTCCTTTCTTTGATTGGTCCCCTTTATCAATCCTTGGTGGCTAGTAATTAGTTTTTGTTAAAGGGGTCGAATGGAATGCAGTTAAAATGGAAACTGGTAGTGTCCTTCACGGGTTTTCTTAGAACTTCTGGAGAGTTGCATTGAATGTTGAGAATCAAACCCGAATGATGTCTGCATTAGATGGAACACTGGAGGGTTGTAGACAATTGAATTTCAGGGTTTATATCAGGTAGATTCCTGTCTCTCTCGCTGGGTTAGGGTTTTTGTCGCCCATTATTACATTAAGGTGGAAAGATACAGAAGCAAATGACTGAAGAAAACTGTATGTTTCAGCAGAACAGAACCTCATCGTCTCAATGTACGTATGGTCATTGTTATAACAGCAAGTTTTTAGGTACGTAGAGCTGGTTCTTTTTTTTTTTTTTTTTTTGTTTTAGCTAGAATCTCTCAACTTCTTCAGAGACACTTAGATGAGAAACCAGTACAAGGTGTTGGATGGGAGTGGAAATAGGTCATAGGAAGTATATGCTCTCAGCATCTAATCAGCTGTTGCTGCTTTGGATTCCGTGGGAGTGGAGGGGATGCAAAGTGCAATTTTGTTGGAAGGTATACTAGAAAATTGTTATCCATCTTTTTGTTAAGCGCCTTTGATCTTCTTGAGTGACAGCAACTCAACTTAAGAGTATTTCAGACTACTGAATGATTGCTGTCTTATGGCACCTGCAAGTATCTGAATATGTTTAGAACTTAGAGCTCATGCTGTATTCTGATCTACTTGAATAGCTTTGATGGTTAGGTAAGAGTTGTTTCACTCTTCTGGTTATTTCTTAGATTGTGACATTTATCGTCAGTTTTATTGATTCAGACTAGAAAAAGAAGCTCTTATCAGCTTTAGTAGCGGGTTTTGTGAACTCTTAAATGTTTCAGTCTCTTCAACTCCTTATATTTTCAACATTTACAGGATACATTAAAAATTATCAAGTATTTGATCCACATAGAGTGGGGAGGATATCGGTTGAACTACAAGGGAGGGTAAGAGACTGCAAGGCTCTTACTTACAGACAAGATATCAAGGCGAAGGACTTAGAAACATACACAAAGCAAACTCTTCCAACACGTCAGGTTCGGGATGAAGTTTCAGTTTGCAATCATGCCATTTTCCTAAACATGAGATTTTGATTGATTTATGGGTTTCCTTCTCATTTCTCCTCTTGATATGCAGTGGGGTTATGTAGTGATCACTACTCCGGATGGCGTACTGGATCACGAGGAGGCAATTAAGCGGAATGTCGGGGGTCAGGTTCTTGGTTACTTTCATTAGAACCCCAGTCTAGATTCTCCGTAATACTACTAGATATTATGGCACAAGAAGAGAAACCGTTTCCTGTACCCTATTGAATTGCATGCTTTCTGTTGAAAAGGACTGGATTGTTAAAGTTGCGCTTTAGTTCGCTCGCATCACTGGAATACTGAAACTGCTCCACAATCACTCCTTTAATTTCAGATCAGTTATATGCTTAGTACAAGAGTTGGATCTATCCGTCTATTGTTTGCTCTATGTTTGGCATACAGAATTATTTCAAGACTTGTTTCATTGACAAGAGTATGGCCTCTGTGATGAATCAATGGTACCACTTTATTCTTCAACAAAGTAAAGAGTCAATGCTGAAATGTAACAAGGGTCAAGGTGAAAACATGTTAAAAGGATTCAGTAGATCCTGCGGCAAATGGTGATCCCATCACCCAATGGAGTGAGCGAAATATCGACGCGAGGATCTGCTGCAAGCGATTTGTTGAACTGAATTGTAGCTTCTGTGCCGCCTCTGTGGCTGCCCGCTACAGAATCTGGAGGGATAGCAACAGTACCTCCCCAGAGAGTGTTATCATAGGCAATGATCCCTCCAACCCTCACCAGCTTCATCAGCCTCTCATGATAGTTCCAGTAGTTGACTTTATCAGCATCCACATAAGCAAAGTCGTAGCTCCCTTCATTCCCTTCCTGCCTCACAAAATCGAAAAGAAAAAAAGTATTGTCACCGTGAAATCGCAACACGATCCAGTGGTCCTATAAGATAGTACTAACATCTTTGACCAGCTTATCGAGGGCAGGCAAAGCTTCTGATTCTACGAATTCGATCTTGTGCTCGACGCCTGCCTTCTGGATTACGGGCAGCCCTATCTCGTAGGACTCACGGCTCATGTCAATAGCCGTGATCTGCGAATTCAAGCACACACATCATCAAATCATGGCTTCGTTCATGTTCTGTAGGCTGTAGCAGCAAGCAATCTGCAGGGTGATGATTATAGCAATACTATCCCAATATAATTTCTTTTGTCACCTTGCCATCGTGGGGAATGGAGAGAGCGGTGAGAAGAAGTGAGTAGCCAGTGAAAACTCCAACTTCAATGGTTTTCTTCGCATCGATCAGTTTGATGAGGAGTCCCATTAGCTGAGCGGCATCAGGCGCAGTAGCCATCATCGCCCTGCAACAACGTACAACAATCAGCCGCTACGAATTCAGAGTTCTAAGCCTTAGCAGAAAGGAATTGTAATCACAGCAGAAGACCATTGCTGATTATCATTACCTGGGATGCGTGGCGGTTAGGTCTCTCAATTCCTTGAGCTGCTGTGGTTCCCGTGGGAACACGCTCGTCTCCAGAACATACTGCCCGGCCGCCAATTCCAAACAAGCTTAACATGTTAGCTTAGATAATCAAAGTGGCAAGAAAAGAGGAAGAAGAAAGGAATTACGAACCTGGTATAACTCTGGAGTCTGCAATAAGCCCTTGGAAGGAGGAGGTGGTGCCGTTCTCTTGCTGCTCTCCCCTTCCATATCTGGATTCTAACCTGATCTCCAGACTTCCAAGCAGCTGATCAGTTTCGATTCACAGGATTCAAACCTCGAGATTATGGGATGCAGAGATAGATGAGAAGTCGTGGGAGTTGGTAGAAAGGGACAGGAAAATGGTCGTTATTATCTAGGCAAAATGGGACAAGAAATGGTATTGGAAATGAAAACTTCTATTTTGGGGCTTCCCCAATTTAAAGGATTAATTGTGTGGTTGGTTACTGAGAATAATTATAAAAAAAAAAAAAGTTGAAGTTTGGTCACTCAGAAATATTTAAATTCATTGATGGTATTTCAGTTTATTGAAATCGTTCACGTTTGATTACTCTCCGTCCAATTCCGTTAACTTTGGCTGATGTGGCAGTGAACTTTAAAGTTCAAGTTTGGTCACTCGAAATATTTAAATCCATTGGTGATACTTCAGTTTACTGAAACCGTTCACATTTGGTCACTCTCCGTCCAACTCCGTTAACTTTGGCTGATGTGGCAGTCAACTTTCAAAGTTGACTATTAACTTAGTGAACTAAAAAATTATTACAAGTAAAAAATAAACTTTTATATTTTCCGCCTCATTATTACATTCATAAAACAATAAAAAAAATAAAAAACCTAATTTCTTTTCTACAAACCCCCATACCCTACCCGACCCAACCTCCACCGTTGTCGCCAGCCCAAACCACCTGACGGTTGCACACACCAACCGAGTGGGCAAGCCAGTGTGCCACTCCATTACTCGTCCGAGGAGAGAAGCTCCAAACCACTTGATTTCCAGAAAGAGCAGCGTTAACTTCAGCTAACCTCCAAATCTCCTCACACCAGCTACCCAATTCAGTTTGATCCCCTTCCATCTTCCTCAACTTCCTAATCAAAGTCTGGCAATCCGATTCAACAATAATGGGGCTCAATCTTATTATGTTCGCTTCCCTAAGACCCATCCAAATTGCCCTTGCTTCACCTTCGATCGGCCTGCTGACTCCCCTCTCTTTCATCGTAGAGGCTCCTCTGAATTCCCCCTTCCAGTCCCGAAGAATGCACCCCATTCTCGTCCCAGCCTGCTGCAGGATACCAACTTTCGTGTTTAGCTTGAAAACGCCCTCCAGCGGCGACACCCATCTATTGGCCGTAGAAATTCCATTATCCATTGCAAGAGGGTGGCCCCGAGATCCGTGAGCTTCCAGATAATGGTGTTTCTAATTGAATTATAGGTTTAAATAGATCTTCTAATATTAATTTTAAATATTTATTATTATCTTCTAGTATATTTATTATTCTTCTTGATATTCATTTATTATTTTACTAATTTATATATTTTAATGAAAAAATTTGATTAGCCATTCTAGTAATATTATGTTTAGAAGGTTTTCTAATTTTTATACTAGATAAAACTTGTTGAAATATAGTTTTGGATGTTTTTAAGAACTTTGAGAAGCAAAAAGTAATTAAAAGTTTGGGTTGGATGGAAAACTAGACGGATGCACATTTTAGCGACTTTAATGGTACCCGACACCCTATTCAAACTTAAGTGGTATGTCTACCCCAATTCTAAAACTTAAGTGGTACCTGAGGTATTTTATTCTCATTGTTTGTTTTGCATTCGGTCAAAAAAATTGATTCGATTAGAACTTTTGAAAGTCATATAGGGTTGGGAAACGGTGCGGTCTGGTCCAGACCAAGTCATATATACAGTTTATGGTTTATATAAAGAGGCTAGAGTATAGAATAGAGATCAAACCATGTGCTATACAGTCCAGACCAAAACACGTCTGTGTGGTCTGGTCCATTACGGTCTAGTCCAAATAGACCATAATGAACGAAAAATGAACTGTTTAATCAACCACACAAAAAATTGAATCAATAACCGAGAAAAAATTGTGTTTTTTTTTCCTTAAAACAATAAATCCAACATGCTTGAAGAATTTTGACACTCTAAATCTTAGTAAACAACAAAAACTACAAAGTCAAAGCATCCCAACTTGCACAATAACGTCAAAAACATTACCATAATGTCATATGGAGACACGATCATCTCTACTCTATGATGAAATGTGGTTGTGAATGAAAGAGGGGCTGAGTTTCTCAAAGTTAGGTTTGAAACTTTGGTCTTGTTGGGGGGAATCGGGAGAGTGGTCAAGTGTGCTTGGAAAGTTGATTGGGTTCACGATTTGTTCCCATAAACCGCGGTCTAGACTAAACCATACTAAGAGATCAAAACATCATATAATATAGATTATGGAACAGACAATACCATTTTTAGTGATCTACAGACCAGACCAAACTGTGCAGTCCAGTTTGATCCGTAGTTTTTCAATCATCTGGTATATTTTCCCAATCCTGACAAGAGAAATTTTCAGTTGAAGCGAAAGGGTTGTGAGTGTGTCACCTTCTTGTAAGGGAGTAGATAGTGTGACAACACCACTTGTGTTGTTAACAACACTAGTCTCCAACTAATAAAAAGCTAGGGTTGTGATGACTTTTTATTAGCTAAGTTGACTTAGTGAAAAATCAAAGCACGAGTATAATTGTCATTATTGAAAATATATTATAAAAAATTTAAAAATATTTTTTTATTTTCTGCCCAAAATTTCGGTCGTCGGAATCTAGTTGTCGGTCACCGGAATATGCTTTTTGTCACCGGAATATGCCCACCATCGCCGGAATATGCTTACCTGCGTCGGAATCTAGTCATCGGGGACGAAATATGCCTATCGGCGTCGAAATCTGCTCACTGACGGTCATCGTAGTTTGGTCAACGAACTTCGTTGACTAGTCAACAGTCAACAACCATCGGATGTTATGGTCTGCATTGTGAGATTTATGGTTTGGTTTCTCATATTTTTGTATGCCTTTTGTGGTTTGCTTTATCGTTTTTCTAGTTTGCATTAAGAAGTTTCTAGTTTACTTTCAAAAAATTTGTGGTTTGCATTGTGAGGTTTCTGATTTGTTTTAATATATTTGTGGTCTGCATTAGGACGTTTATGGTTTGTTTTTTGTGGTTTGCTTTTCCGTATTTGTGGTTTGCACATGAAACCACAGGATGGAGATCGCGAAAGAGAAGATGCTGATGCATTTGTGTTTAAAGATGACAAGATGGAGTGACGGAAGAGTAGTGGATTCAATTCTATGGATTTCTGGTGTGCTTAAGAAATATTTGTGGTTTGCTTTGTGGGGTTTCTAGTATGTTTTAGAGGATTAGTGGTTTGCATTAGAAGTTTTTTTTAAAGTTTTTGTGGTTTGTTTTATCCTATTTGTGGTCTGCATTAGAAGGTTTATGCTGTGCTTATATATAGTTGGAATCTCAAAATTTTGAGTTTGAAATTCGGATCATAATTTCCCCCTCACTCTCATAAATGTCCACGTACAGTTCCGACATCACTTAAATCCCCTGTCACATTCTTCACTATAATTAGAAAGAACACGCAGTAGCCTCCTTAATTCGGACGAATTTCAAAAATACACATGTTTTTAAAAAAAATTCTCAAAATACACACGTTATAAAAAAATTCCCAAAATACACATGTTTGGGCATCACCACTCTTGTCAACCGCAGTGCTTATATATAGTTTCAATCTGCAAGAAGACTTCATCTCAAAAAAATGTCGTTTGTTTTC